TCCTTAGATGATACACACTCTGGAGCAATATACCTATGGAAAGTCGAAATTAAGTTATTAATTTAATGAGAAAAAATGAAAAGAATTAGAGCAGAATAATAATCACAGCAAATACACTTGTTTGTCCAATTGCATAGAATTACTAAGCTGATATGAATCACTAGGACTCTCAAACCATAAGAGCTAAAACCATTTAATGACTTTTTCTTTTATTTTGCATTGGCAAATTATCAATACAAAGTTATAGTAAATAAAAAATCATACCCATAATCACAACCAAAATTTGAGGTTTTGTAATAAGTCAATAAGTAAGGCCACGTTTATGCCCTTAAAAAATGACAACCTGCGAACATGAAGGAATATGGTCGCCTTTCGATTAGGAAACAACTTCGACAAAGACAAAGAGGAAGGTGGAGAGTCCCTTGATGACGAGGGCCTAAAGGCAGTCGGTGTTCTTAGCCTTTCGAGCATGAAGGAATATAGTTTTAAATAAGAAGGAGCATTTTCGTATAAAATTATGTGATGTATATACGGGTGGAGTTGAAAATAAATACTGATTTATTAACTGGATTTGACATAGACTTCAGTTTTCGTACAAGGGTAATGGAAATTTTGATTTCTGCGATGGAGAGATCGATAAAAGCCCCTATATTATAATATTTATTAATTATATATAAATTTATATAATTATATTTAAAATTATAAAAATATATTTTATATATTATATTTAAAATCATATATAAGTCAAAAAGTATTTAAAATTTTTTGACATTAAAACGAAGTTAAAGTGGAATCGGATTAAATCCAAATCCGATCCAAACCCATTAGGATTTGAATTTGAACCCAAGGTCTTAAATTCTGATAAGAGTTTAGATCGGATTCTGATGCACATTTTTACTAATCAAATTGAATTCACATTTTGATGAACCCGAATTACATCCCTAATTTTGAATCGATATCTATCAAATATGCACGTAGAAATTTAAACTCCGCTACCCATGAACTAGCATATAAAACATGTAAATATATATTAGTAGATGGCAAATGGTGGCAGCCATTTTGAGCTATGATATCTAATTCCTCTCTTTTTTCCGAAAAAAATATGTTCTTTTAGATGGGTCGAGAAGTTATAACCAGTATTCAAAAACACCAATTATTGGGTTATTTCATCTAAGCATTGAATAAATGCTGGATTTTCTTTTGACAACAGGAATTTATAGATTATCTTTAATTTACAAGTTGTTCTAAAAAAATAATTTACAAACAAAAAAATACCAAATTGTAGGCCTCTGAATTATGTATCAAGAGTTTTTCATAATCGGTGTTTAGATCACTGAGTTTTGTATGAGCATTATGATCAAAGAATTAGGAAATGGCTGACATATATCATGTCTACGGAGTAGAGGGGAATTGGTATTTTGGTTTTAGTTCAGGGTTTCAGCGGTTGGATATTCTACATTCACGTGTTAGGAGGTTTTCTTTTTGTGAAAGGGATTCAAAGTCATTTCCCCAATTCTTTAATGACTGGCATGGAATATTATTATCCGATCTCGGATTAAAACAAAACAAAACCTAACTAATTAATTTCATATATAAACTCTTTCGTGGATGTATCTAAAATTCTAAATTGTAAAATTGTCTCTCTCTCTCTCGCTTTACCTCCCAACGAAGTCATAGATACGTGGTCCATTGCTGAATCGATATCACAGCTAAAACGATCCAGTGTTAAGACCTAGACTTAGTCAAACTATCAACCAGATGAATATATAGGTTGTATTTAGTTGCAATGCAAATAAATTTATACTGATATAAAATTATGACAATGCAAATAATTTAAATCTAGATTCTACTTATTTTTATTTCAAATTTTAACTTATTTTGTTGATTGCAGTAAAAATAAAGTAAATTAAAGCATAAGACATAATAAAATAAAATCCAAAACAAAATTAAACAAAAATTTACAATTTTTTATGTACACTCCCATGCATTTATATTAGTATAAATAAAATTGCAGTGCAACCAATAATGAGGGTACATACCCTATTTGAACGAACAGTCCCACCAACTACAATATGAACGAATATGTAGACAAGGTTCAAAGTATCGATATGCCCCTATGTATCGGCGTATAGTAAAAAAAAATTAACCACTTAATTAATATTTTTTTGGTCTATTTTTCAAAACTTGATCTTTTGAAATATTTTTTGTCTTTTTTATTAAAATTAATGGGTCATGAAACACCTGTATATGTCGATACCAAAAAATATTATACGACAGAGCGATACTTTGAACCTTGCATAGTCATTATTCTATATTTTAGATAGAGGGTGACATTGTGATTTGACCTTGGGTCTCTGCAACGAGTCAATAAAGAACACTACCAATTGAGCACCATCAACTTAAGACAAATAAATGACTGTGGGGTCACCATAAATTGCCATATGTTCTATATTTATTTACCGGGCCCACCATTTGATCGGCCCTACCTTAGAACAGCTAGGCCAAAGGCACTTTTAATTAAAGGATAACCCTCAAACTTTTTTGCAATTAACTGCATTGTTTAAAACACGTAGTTCTGCAAATAATGACAATATCAGGTTGTTAAAATTCATCTAATTGTCTTGAATAATAGTATCAATGCTTTTGATAGGACCCTGTTGAGTAAGGGTGCAATTGAACCTATCCAAGTTGATCTTCAGCGAAATGTCTTGCCTTAATTAGTTCAATTAAAATACTCTAATATATATATATATTTGATTTAAATTCTATTTATTTATTCAAGTTCCATTTGACTATGCATTTAATAAGTTTAAGTTCAGCTCAAAAATCTCAACAAACTAATATACTTTTATAGTTAGGATTATAAGAGAAACTTTTGGGCCCTAATATCAATATAAGTAATATATTTAATAAAGTTTTAAAAAGAAGTTAATTTTTTCAAAATAATATCGAAAAGGGATAAAATTATTGTTTATCATCTTCTTCTTATATATTATTTATTAGAGCAGCCCGCCGCCACCTCCAGCACACCTCTGCCTCCGGAGGTGGGCAGCGGCGGTACTGGTCTATTATCCGTCAGCACCATCGCCTCTACCTTCACCTCTGCCCAGCACCATCACCTCTGCCGACGGAGGCAGAAGCGGCAACGGTGCTGGTCTACCATTCATCAGCGCTGTGGCCTCTGCCCAGGGCAGAGGCAAAGACAATAGGGGTGGCATTGGGAACTGGTCATTCCATTTTATCCTAGAAACGTATAAATAAAATTTATCGAAAAATTGGGAACCGGTCATTCCATTTTATCCTAGAAAAAAACTATTGATTTGATAAATAAACTCTTGACTCGGATAGTTGAATCATTTGAATCGTTCAGCAGTTTTTGATTATTTTTTATTTCTTTTATCAAAACAGGCCATCCTTTCAAATGGAATGGTCGGACTGTTCAACCCAAGAACCGGACTCTGAACGGTTTTTTGTCTTTTATCTACTGATTTCAATGGTATTTGTGGTTAGACGTCGACCAAGTCAACAATTATTGAGTCTCATGAGCGTATAGCAGATCTAATTGATTTCAATGGACCCAATCTTCAATGCACAATATTATTTTAGATGCATGTACGCAATGCATTAATTTCTAGCTAGGATGTTGACTGTGGTTTGTAAGGTGAATTCGCACCGACCTGTCATGGGGAGAATTCTCAATGCAAGGTTGTAAAAAGGGTGTTAGAAGGGAGTGGGCACAGGTTTGTTTTGATGGAAGCTGATCGAAATTGATTCGATAGAAAATATTGAGGACGGATCCAATTGGGTTTACAATTTTTAGACCTAGAACTGAATCAATCAACTAGTTTTTGAGATAATGAGATCTGATTTAATGGATTTAATTATAATAAATAATAAATAGATACATTTAATATATATTAATTATTACATATTATACATTATATATATATATATATATTATGTATTATATAAATATAGCTCGAGTCGGGTCTAAACCAGTTCAGGACTAAGTGGAATCAGTTCCAAACAGATAATAATTGGAAAACTATATCAGGATCTCAGAACTGACTGTCAGTTTTAGTTTCTAGAACTAGAATCGGGCCAATTGGTTTGGGTCCATCAAGTCGGACCTGACCCATTGACAGCCCTAGTCCCAATAGCCATTACAGATGTACATTAGGAACATCTTGCTAGAAAGACAAGGGAGATGTTCTGAATGTATGGCTGCAATGACTGTTGGGACTTGTGTTGAATGGTCCGAATAGGGAACCACTCTGGAGTCCTGTTCTCAAATTGAATGGTCCGACCATTTAAACCGAATGAATGACCTGTTCTAACAAAAAAATAAAAATAAATAAATAAAGTAAAAAATGGTCAAAATCGCTTTTGGCCAAAAGTGGTTCTAGGATGAAACAGAACCAATCAGGCAATTGGTTCTCGGTTTTTTCGATTCAACCATTCGATTCGGTTTGATTTTGAAAACATTGGACGGGACTAAGTCCAAAAATAAAAATTCTATAATCATAAAAAAACTTTGACCAATCAAAACCCCTTTGATGAAAACCCATCTAATTACTGAGTACTTTATGAAAACTTGGTCCTCAGAAAACAATCCTTACAGCCTTTTGTAGCCGTTGCAACATCCTATTGTTTTCATTTACAGGAGATAGTCCAATGCACAGCTGTGACGATCAAAACCTGTTATGATTCCATTGATTGGTTATAAGTTTTTTCTGGTTTCATGTGAGCACAAGTGCGCCAAAAAAGAGCAGGTTTGGGCTCAAAACGTTTTCAATTCAACCCGAACCTTACCCAAATTAGCTCTAAAGCTTCTAACCCGCATACCCAATTAGGTTAACGAACCCGGTCCAGCTACAATGTCAACGGTTTGGCTCCCATTGAAAGCCAAATCGGAACCTCAATTAAGTTGATCCCTAACCCAATAGAGTCTACTTATAAGGATTTATCACTTAAGCCCACCCACTGACATCCATCCCTACCCTTGCCACAGTCCTTCCTTTGCTTCCATTCCTCTCTCAAGTTTGCTTCTTCCTCCTGTGGATCCCAATCTTCTCTTTGCCTCTCCACCATCGCCATGGTTTTCATACCTGAATGACTCCATACATGCATCGCGTCCAGTATCTCTTCTATTTGCAAGATATGCCTCTATTTATGGAACACCACCACCACCACCATTTCCACCTTCACGACTTCTGGAGTCACTACCGCTGATTTCACCGACTCCACTGTCGCCAGAGCCTACAAGTTCAGAACCGTCATTGTCGCCTCCGTTGCTACAACCTTCTACAGATTTTAGCTCTATTGGCGAATCCTCTGGGCCGACTCTCACCAGGATTGTTAGCAGCTGGAATCATGGTGGTTATTGGTGTAGTTTGGGTTATATTATTATTATTATTATTATTTGCTTGGGGTACGAAGGTTAGAGTTATCACAGCTGGAGTCATGGCGGTTATTAGTGTAGTTTGCGTTATAGTATTATTATTTGATTGCTATAAGAAGAAAAAGGGAGAAAACGCAGCTGGAACTGGAAGTTCGAACATCCGAACCTCAGCCCCTGAGGCTCCAAATAGAGGTTAGAATTTCTCTTTCTTCTTTTTTTTTTAATTTATGCATTGCATTATAGGTAGAACAGCCTAAGATAATTGTCCTACATTGATGAAAAAACTGCAATCCAGAGGACAAATGAAATGACCAATCTTGATATTAATCACTAAACTAACATTTTATTAATAAGAAAAAAATATTTACCATTATGGCTAAATCTGACCCACTACAGACACATCTTTGAGATCTAGTTTCTCTAATTAATTAAGATGTTGGAAATAAGAGGGACTGCATTTCCAAAAAACATCGAATTTATGAGCACAAAGGAAGTTGTGAACATAGTAATCAAGCAAGAAACTCAGTCTGACTGACGGGATCAAGCACAAAGGAATTGCGATCTTTTCGTCCGTAGAAGGTTATGTTGGGATTCTTTGATCCAATTTTACTGTTTTTCTCATTATGTTAAGGTTGTATTTGATACCATTTCTATTTATACTTGTACTTACGTTGATCAATACAAATTTTATTTTGTAAGTATTTTTTTTGGTCTCAAATGCTTTGAATTATCAATACAACATTTACCATTATTGCTGTTTGTTGAGAAAGTATCAAATTTAGTGTTTATTGCCAACCCCCAATTTAATGCTTTATGTTTTTAATAAAGAGTGGTTATTTGACGTGATGTGTTTTAGCATAAATTTGTATTGATCAATCTAAAATACTGACAAGTAGAAGCAATAATGGTACCCAAAACAACATAAGATAGCTTATAGGCTGTTTATGTGGGGCCCATCTTAGAAAGGCAAGAGTGACTACAATCAACATAGGAATGTACCAATTGGGGCCCACCTTGGAACTCCTAATCTTTCTAGTTTAATATGTATGTATTTATAATATAAGTAAATATTATTTTTTACATTAAATTATTTATAATATAAACAAATAGGTTTATAATTGATTTTAATAATATATTTTATTTTGGGAAATTCTCGATGGGTATCCTATACTTTAGGCCGAGTGTCAATTTAATACCCAAACTTTAAAATGCGACAATCTAGTACCTACCATTAAAAAACCATTAATTATGTATATCACGTGACCTCACATGCGTTTTAAAACTTTTGAAATTTTCAAAATTACCTAGCTCTCTGTACTTAGTTGAGAGACGGCTCGGATGTACTACCAGTACATGTGAGACAGAAACAACCACCACCATCTCCCCGGTCACCCTTACAACAATACCACCGGTGGCAACAGTGGGAAGTGTTGGATTTTAATTTCATAAGAGATTAAACCCAATGGGTTTGATTGGTCAATTACATGAGAAATTGCACCTGCACACTTGATTGAAAAATTAGCTTTTCTCTTATAAAACCTAGTTTTGAACTTGTCCCACATTGGAAAATTATAAGCTTTGTTTTTATTATTTTAAGAGGAGCTGATTTACTCTCCTTAGAAATAGTAGAGGAGAGTATGGGGGTTTGATACCGCGTGCATGCATGTGTGTGGCGCAATGAGGCGCTTTAGAAGTGCACTTTGCTCGCACCAAAACCAAAACCGCCCTTTAGTTTTGGTGCAATGCTGACCGTTGATCACCATTGATGAGATCAACGATCACGATTCGATTGGGTGTGATCAAGAGGCACAATTCAAAGTTAACAGTCATTAATGTTAACTACTTTTTAAGCATTGTGACTGTTCAAGGTGCCTTCTCTAAACCAACACCTACCTTTTCTTCATACCTCTTCATAAACTATTTAAGGAGCATGAATCAGACTTCAAAAACACACATTTTCAAAATTCACTTTCTCTCTTTTTCTTAGTCAGGTTTGCTACAGTCTCACAGAAGGTTTTTTTGGAGATTTTTCAACTTTGCTGGTTGTAGACTCTCGCCCAAGGCTCTATTGTATCATTGGAACGGATTTACCTATAACCCAACCGCAAACTCAGTAAACTGAGTGGGGGCAAATAACGTTCTAAAAACAGTATCTTCAAACACACCTCAGAACTTCTCCTCCAAAGTTATAATGACCCCATTTTCCAACAGGAAGCGAATGAACTGCTGACTGTTGTCAGATCCCAGACTCCTAGTTGAAGGAAGAAAAGAGAAGCAACGAAAAGAGTCTTAGACTAGAGTCGGTTTTTTGAAAAACCGACTAGACTCATTATAGTCTATTAATACGAAAAACCCTCAATTGCAATATGTGTTCTTCCTTCCGAGTTTTGACAACCCAACTGCGAAATTTCTGAGTTCTAATCCTCAAAATATCTGCTACTATTTCCCCTGTCTCTCATTGCTTCTTTCTTCCGAGTGAGTCATTGATTGTCGACCCAATCAGGTCGTTGGTGGAGTGAATCCTGAGTGCGAGGGATCTGGAGGAGATCATCGAGAGGAAGAAGCTTTAGTTTCATTGAAATGGGTTTGCATTACTTTCATCATCATTTCCGCCATTATTGTTGTTGGAGTTGGGGCAATCAGGAATGATAATTGTTGATGCAGCACAATCTGGGCACTCCTAACTGGCTGAGAGTTGGCTCCTAGCTGTGATGGACGACACCTGAGAGGAAGAGGAAGGTGAAGGGTTCCCAGGGAGCTCTCCCGGTGGGAACACTCCGATGGCTAAGTTAGAACTCAGAGGAAACTTAAAGAAGACACAGCGAGTTAAGAGTGCTGAGAGTGCTAGCTTTAATATCTCTGCTTCGTGAGGGTCGGGGTCCTTTTATACTGGAGCTCGGTCACATCAGGCGTAACCGCCACTGCCTTAACTGTTACTGCCAGGGCAGGGGTGGCAGGTGCAGGCTGCTGCTACAGGCTGCTATTGCAGGGTACGGACTCGTCAGGTGTGCCATGCCTTTTAGAGGAGGCAGGCAGAACGCCACCTGGCAAGGGATCCGAGCACTGCCACCGGATCCGGCAGGTACGGATGTCAGGCAGATCTCCTTGCAGTCTGCCGAGCTACTGTGCACCAAACCACCTGGGGCAGGTTTGCCTTGCACTGAGGTGTCGAGGTACACTGAGGTGCCCGCACTATAGGCGAGCCTTAAGCAAGTACAACAAGGGTCTCGATGGTGCTGTCCCAAGGTGTTTCTCCCTCGGGACACTTAGCCAAAAGTTGGGGTGCTTCCTTTTTAGGAAGGGAGAGCTCGGAGTCCCTTAGGGGGAGCTCGGGTCTTAGGAGGAGCTCGGGTCCCTTTGCATGGGGGAGCTCGGGGTGCTCCACCCTTAGGCTCGAAGTCCAAATTGTCTTGTCTGCCAGCTCATAGGATGGACCGGTTTTCTGCTCGGTTCTGCCAGGCACAGCTCGGGTCACGTATGGTCTACGCGTGGATGTGACGCAAGTTGTAGACTCCGCGGACGTCAAAAAACGCGCTAAACTGATTTCGTCTTGAAGGTCGCGCAACCAGTTTTCATGAGGACCGTCAGATGATTTCGATCTCAACCGTTGATGCCCAAGTATAGTGGCTATAAATAGTGGGGGTCCTAGCCATTTTTCTTTGCCACAAATCTTCGGCTGTAGTTTTGAGCTCGCGTCTAAAGCCTTCAACTCGGGTCAGTTCTTCCCAGTCTGGTCCTTCTCTTTTCGGTGAGTCACCCTATCTCTTCTTCGGTTTCGTTATGTCTTCCTTTGACAGCCAGTTAGATGAGCCCGAGGTGCCTGAGGTGGGTGCCTCGTCTCAGGGTAACCCTACCGGAGTCCAGTCCCCCAAGGCGCGGGTGGCCTCGGGTAACTTGGCGTCCACCTCTCACCGAGGTCGGATGTCGGACAGGTTCGGACCTTCCACTATGACCCTGGAGAGGCTCCGTCAACTCATTCAACAGTACAACCTGCCCAGGGAGTACTCCTATAGTATTCCCGCGGGTAACTTCCCATGGGAGCACGACCCTGATGAGGTCGTAATCTTTCGGGAGCATCTCATAGCCAGGCTGCGCCTTCCCTTCCATCCACTCATAGTGGAGGTCTTCAATCACTTCAATGTTACGATAGACCAGCTTCACCCGAATTTGGTCTGTAATGTGGTCAGGACCATCTCCCTCTGCTACGAGTATGTCCTCCCCCTTAACTTGGACATATTCTATTCTATCCTTATCAAGAAGAGCGCTTCATGCGTTCTCCCCGAGCACAGGAGGGCCTACTACTTGTCCCCTCGCCCGGGGTTCAAGTTGATGCATAAGCTTCCTAGCAAGATCCCAGCGTGGAAGCAGGACTACTTCGTAGTCCGGAACCCTGCGGGGTGGCCCTTCCCTACCCACTAGAGGGCGGCTATCCAAGACCCTAGCATCATCCTCGACATGAAGATCAGGGAGACATTCCAATCGTAGGCTGAGGTCGGTTGTAGTTTCAAGGACCTCATCACCGAGAGTATGCTCATCCAGGCCGGCTTGAGTCCGGGTAGGTAGTTAGTACCTTAGTTGTCTGGCCTGCTCCTTTCTTTTACTTGAGTACTAATGCCGAGCTCTGTTGCAGGTCCCATGGAGGCAGACAAACTTAAGGGAGATTGGCTCTTCAAGCACATGAAGGGAAGGAAGAAGTGGGTTGCTAAGAGAGCCCGTATCGAGTCACCTCCAGCCCCTACTCCCGAGCCCAAGCTTTCGTTGGCTCCAACCTCCGAGCCTGAGCTCCCTGGGGCTCCTCCAATTATTGACTTGGAGGAGATACCACCTAGGGAGCCCGAGACTTCGACCGAGCCCGCTATGAGGGTGGCAACCAAGCCAGAGGTCACCACCAAGGCTGCTGACGTAGCAGCGGAAGTCTCCGCCGAGCCCATTCGTACAGTCGAGACGGCGGTCTCTAGCTTGGGGAGCTCAGATGGAGGCCGAAGTATCTTGGTCCCCTAGTGCGGCCTTCGAAAAAGCAAAGGGGTTGTTTACATCGAGGAAATTTTGGTCTGGGCTGATATGCTTAACCTTGCTCAGCTCGGAGCCCGGGCTGCAACCCACACTATGGTGGTAAGTTCTCTTCTTTTTCCTTTCCTTTTCTTTTATGTATGTACTTCTCTTCGGTACTAACTAACTTCCTTTGTCAGGCG